GCCCCGCTGCCCTCCCCGCGGGCAGCTCTGCTCCAGAGCAGGGCAGGAAGCACTCCGCGCAGTGCGGCAGTTTCGGGTGCGAAGATGCCSTGGGGACCGGCGAAGCTACAGAAGCCGTGTTCTTGCCCCCAACTGAGATGGGAAGGACAGAGAATGCTTGAGRCACAACCACTGGCTGAGGACACGCTGTGAATGTGTGAGATGAGGGTCAGCCAGGATGGGCTGCATGGCATCAGGGAGGGAAAGAACAAGGTCACCTCCCTATGAAAGCAGGACCAGGTTTAGGATAACCTGGATATGGCTCAAATCTCAAACAAATGCAGCAAATGTGCCTTCCACCTCCAGAAAATGGAAAAGAAGGATTCAAATATATATAGACATTCATGTCTGAGATTTTTTTGAAGGAAACTCAGCTCCCAGATAGAAATGCAAATGTAAACAGAATTGATCACAGATGTATTGTCTCAGGACAAAGTAATGATTCCTTTTTGATACTTAACTTCAATCAGGTGATGCAGAGCATTGCAGTGGAAGGTGTCCCTGCCAAYGACAGCGCTGGAACAAGATGAGCTTTAAGGTGCCTTCCTACCTAAASCATTCTATGATTCTATGCTTTTATGATGGTTTAGCCTGGTTAGATTTAAGGAAGAAGTTTGATTTGCACCCAGTATGGACCAGTTTCCAATGCTGGAAGTCATGGGTATGGATTTAGCAAGAGGAGGAACCAGCTAACCAAGAAAATGTTGAGCTGTGTTACAGGGATGTCACTGAGCAGCTTCCAGCACTGTTCCCCAGTCTTTGGATGACCCTACTAACATTAACAAGTGCAGGGCTGGGAGTGTAGAATTATCATGGCTGTGACGCATTCTGGGGAGGAACACAGCTGCATCACTAGCAAGGCACTGGGATGGTCTCACCTGGAAGATTGTAGAATCCTAGGCTTGGGTCAGAAGGGACCTTTAAAGGTCATCTAGTCCAACCTCCTATTGTGAGCAGAGACATCTTCAATTAAATCAGGTTGCTCCAAGCCCTTACAACCTGGCCACATGGAATMTCCACCACCTCTCTGAACAACCTGTGTCAGGGTTTCACCACACACTGTAAAATACTCCTTGTATCTAACCTAAATCGATGTTCCTTTAGCTTAGAACAATTTCCCCTTCTGTGTGGCTGAGCATGCTGGTTTGGCAACAGGCTTCCAAAATTGTGCAGTGAAAAGGAGAGAACTGCTCACAAGTGTAGATTCAAAATTAGGAGGATGCATCCAAGCACAAATGTCTTGGGACAATTTTCAAACAGGACTCCAGGAGCAAGTGAGTGGTTTGGAAGGATGCTGGGAGCAGTACTGAAGAGACTCAGTAAGGGTGGTCTCCAAGACCGAAGCTGAAACTTGTCCCTTGGGTCAAACATTTGGTCTTCAGGAGAAGATTAGAGAGGAGGTATTCATAGACCACATCTGTGCCAGTGCATGTGTGCTATGTATGTGCTACCCTGCACATTCCACTGGCAGCCTGCAGGGATCAGAATAAATTTCTCTCCTTTGCTCTAAACTSTGGCAGCTGMGCTATTGAGTTATTTGAACCTCCTRCAGATTGCTGTGGTTGGAGGCAAAACACAGGGTACGGCATTCTCTGGGATACTCAAGAAACTTAAGCATCCCTGCTAAAGCTGAKGTTTCAAATAATCATCAGGCTTGGGCTTCAGGGAACTTTTCCAGGCCAGAGGGGCAGGAAGGGGGCATGGATGACAGAGCACACCCTAAACAAAGTGAGTGTTTAACCCACAACCACAAGGATCAGCTGCTGGTTCTCTCCAACCTCTAAGGTACTCAGGAGCCTTTGATGACCTGTGCTGGGGACGGGTGATGTGAGGCTTGGCACGAACCAAAGCGTTTCATTTCCAGCAGGTGGGAGATATTAGGGACAAAATTCAGCAAACACACCCCAGCTTCCCAGGTGGGCAAGCTCCAGTTCTGCCCTCAATCAGTCTTTTATCCCTCTTGTTTACCTCCATTYTGCAAAACTACATCTTATCATAGAATCACAGAATGATGTGGGTTGGAAGGGACCTTAAAGCTCATCTTCTTCCAATCCCTTGCTATGGGCAGGGACACCTTSCAMTAGACCAGTTTGCTCCAAGCCCCATCCAACCTGGCTTGGAACACTTTCAGGGATGGGACAGCCACAGCATCTCTGGGCAACCCATGCCAGGACCTCACCACCCTCTCAGCCAAGAATTCTTCCTATCTCATCTAAACCTGCCCTCTTTGAGTTTGAAACCATTCTCCCCWGTCCTGTCACTCCAGGCCCTTGTCCAAAGTCCCTCTCCAGGAGCCCCTGTGGGCACTGAAAGGGGCTTTAAGGTCTCCCTGGAGTCCTGTCCTCTCCAGGCTGAAYAGCCTGAACTCCTTCAGCCTTGTCCTCATGGGAGAGCACCATGAGCATCATTTTGGTCAGTAAAGTCCTGTGCAGGGGCAACACAGCCCCAGGCTGATCCACAACCCAGCACAGTGGCAGGAGGCTGGAGCCTCACCAGCTCAGCCCTGACACCATGCACAAGCTGTTCCCAGCAGTGCTAATCCAATTACAAAACAAACTTCCTTCCTTCATTATCAGGACCCACAGTGTGCTAAAACAGCCTGCCGATTATGGAGGGCTTAATGAGGGACTAGCAGGCAATGAATGAGAGCTGTTTCACTTGCAGTGAGGAGGGACACAAAACTCAGGCAGGTGGGAGGACCCRGGGGATTGGGAATTATTACAAACAAAGGTCTTTGGTCAAACTTTATGCTCCCAACAGGGTTGAGGTTAACCTCAAAGCCACATGAGGCTGCTCATGCCCTTGTCCCTCCTGGGGATTAGCATCCTCATGAATGGAGATCCCTGTCACCTCTCCAGCACTGCTGGATGCCTGCCCTCACCCCATTCCCAAACAATGCTCACTTCAGTCACAGGATGGCAAAGGCAACACTAAAATATCCTTTTAACAGAGATTCMGTTCAAATTTTCTGGGAAGCTGCTGTTTACCTCCCATCACTGAGGCTGCTAGAACTGGAGCCATACATTTTCAGTGGTCAGGACAAAGGAAGGAGTYATTTCCTTTTATTTGGCATGGGTGAGACCATACCTGGATACTGTTCCCAAGTACACAAAGAGAGCCTCGCTGAGGATGGTCAGGGCCGAACAAGCCAGTTTCACTTCTTTCKCCTGGAGAAGAGAGGGCTCAACAGGGATCTAATTCCCACAGCAACGATGAAGGGCTGCTTTGCTGAAGCACATGGACACACAGCCCAGCTACAGAGCAATCCTGCTGGCCCATAACTGGTTCTGGGGGCTGGTGCAATGCACACARGTTTCATTCCTCTCATCCCTGTGCTCAGCAGGGATGCTCCTGAGATGGAGCCAGGCTGCTTGAGAAGATTTCACCACAAAGCAAGCACTCACTCCCAGGCAGTTTGCTCCCTGCCACAGTTCCTCAAGAAACAGCCCTAAACTATCTGGGGAGCTGCACAGACCCAAGAAGCCTCTTCTTTCCCACCCATAGCCTCTGAGAGGGCAGAGGATCCCCAATGATGAGCTCTTCACTGGCACCATCAGGGCACAGCAGGGCTGCTAAATGGCACTCGAAACCTTCTGAGTGCAGAARGGGCACCCAGCATCACCTCCACAGATTTCTGCATCTCCAGCCCTTCTGGCAGCCTCTGGGAGAAAAGCCCTCCYACTGGAGTGACCTCCATCCCTGCCAGACAAAATGCCTCCCTGGGATGGAGAGGCAGCCAAGTGGGCTGTAAGGAAACATCGACCAGCTCAATCTGCTGCCTTTTAAGGAGCGGCAGAGGCTGAGGCATCCTRGAACAAACCACCATAGTTCTGCAGGCCCCCAACCACGGGGTGCACTCACAGACCACAATGGCCATGCCCCAGGGCCCCTACAGAAGCTCAAAACTGTGCAGGGGAGCCAGGACAGCCATCCTCCAGCTAAGATTGAGTCTGAAAAACCCCAGAGCCACGGATGGTAGAGCAGGGTTGCTGCAGTGCTCACCCACGCAAGGTCCCCGCAGCCCCATCAATCACCTCAGTCCCCACTAGCAACCAGCAGGGAGAGCTTCTTCCTGGCACCAGACAGAGGGGAATATGATACTTTTTCACAAAGCCTTCATCAAGCTACTGCTAACTCATCCCACAGATGCCTGAGGGCTTTGCTCCACTTGCGGAAAAGGTTTTGCTGGTCCAGCAGCAAATTTGCTGCTGTCGCTCCCACYCAGGGAGCAGAGGGGAATGTGCTGCTGGGGAGTAACAGTGAGATGGAACGTAGGCTTAAGCACAGATAGAGAAAATGTATGTGCATGGGTACAGGAGCAGGAACAAGGTTAAAAGGCAAGATATGCATGAAACAGTACRGAGCACTAGAGAGAGCCTCAGCCAAAAAGAGGAGCAAGCTGGCCCAAAGACAAAGGTGTCAGGAAGACAAAGAACAGGATTGGAACCGGTACATTTTCAGAGGAGGAGATCAGGAGCTCTGTCAAATTCAGGGATTTTGCCTAAGATTTGTGAGAGATGAAGGAAAACAAGAAGGCAAAAGATCCCAAAGAGCACCCCCTTCTACAGGGAGTAAYAGGCAAGTCCAAAATCAGCTCATCACCGCCCACAAGCAGTGGCAAGGGTATGACCACCAGCATCTCTTGTCTCCTGTGTCTCAGAGGATTGAACTGGCTGGACGGGCACGCCGATCTCAATGTATGCAAGGGCGCAGGGCAAATCAACCCACTTTTGTATAACAAAATTCCCCTTCCCAATATTTTGCCACACTGATCCCCCACTGGTGGTGGGATGTGGGCACACAGTCCCATGGAGCAGGAGGCAACCGTGCACCACTTTATTAGGCAGTGGTGCTGCACACACGGCCAAGGCCAGTCACTATTTACATTTGGCAAAGGATGGCAGTGAGTACCGAGCACTGGTGCAGGTGAGGGCAGACTGCCTGGCCCCCACATGTCTCAGTGGCCCCAGGCAGGTCCTGCTCACTGTTGCCAGCCTCCTTCCTGAGGGCACAGCTGTTCTGTCTCTCATGGGCAGAGCTAGGCACCCTCACGGAGGCACYTCAGGCCTGCTCCCGGCCGATTTATCCCCGTACTCACACCCAGTGCCCCCTCCCTGGACTCTCCAAGGTCCCAGCTCCTGTTCTGGTATCCCAAGCTCTGCCTGGAGGCAGGTGTGGACAGCCAGCGAGCCCCACTCAGCTCCTCACACAGGGKGTCCTTCCAGTGCCATGCCAGCAGGCAAACCAGTGCATGGGAGTCCCTGGAGAGCAGATCGGGGGCCTGGCTGCACCAATCCCCAACAGCTCTGGCTGTGCCCAGTGAGCTGCTCGTGGGCTGACGGTTTGGAGCCCATCCTCGGCACAGTGGCGCTCGGCCCTGCAGATGGGCCAGTTTTGGCACCCAGCTTTGAGACTGACTCATGGGGTGAGCACTATAGGGTACGGATAGCCACTGGATAAAGCAAGGACATGTGCTCAGCCCCCTTGATGGGCAGCTTGCGGCTGGCGTAGTGATGGATGATCTCCGGCACGCTGTCAAAGGGCGGGCTGTGCTGACCCAGCACGTACTTGTTCTCCTGCGTCCGGGACAGTTTCATGTGCATGAAGCCCTGGCTGCTCCTGCAAGGACAGATCAAGGCATGGTTAGGGGGTGCAGCTGGCCCCAGCTTCCCCTCAGCTCCTGACCCCCCAACACAGGCAGCCTGCCCCTGCAGCTGAGGGGGACACTACTGGCTCCTGCCCGCAGCCACAGCCCTGCCTGCGCCATCCTGCTCCTGGCCAACTCCCAACAAAGCCCACAAAGGGAGGGAACATGGCCAACCATGCAGCACGGTGTCCCCTTGGGGAACGGGGCCATGCAGTGGGGTGTGCAGGGCCCATCCGGGATGTGTGTGGGCAGGGAAGGCATCACCTGGGCAAAAGCAGCAGGGATTCCACTATAGGGCCMCGCAGGAGTAATGGCTTGTGCTCCTCCCATGTGACAAAGCCCCTTTTGCAACCACTCTAGCTCTCATGGGAGCCCTTCAGCCCCCAGGACCTCTCCCAGCTCTCCAGCCTCACTGTGGCAAACCAGGATTTTCTCCTTTGGCCACACCTGAAAGATTTTCTCCTTCCCCCTCTCCCCACGCCACCGCTGCAGGCTCCATAAATCCGCTCAGCATAGTGAGGCCATTTCCCAGCACAGCACGGGCACCAAGCCACACCRAGCTGTGCAGGCAGATCCTGCCACAAACGCTGATTCCAAGTGACGGACTAATGGCCCTGTTGCTATTAATTTGCGTCTCCAAGGAGAGCCACAGCCTGTCTGCAGCGTCTGGAATGCACGTTACAGCAAAATATTGATGACTTAAAAGCAGACAGGATCTCATCAGCAATGCTGAACTGCTTCTAGTGCTGCACAGCCCGGCCTCATCCCCCCAGCTGGAGACAGGTCGTAATGGACAGCCCAGTTGCATTAGCAGAATGGGTTTGCAATCCATTTAGAGACAGAAGCAAGGAGCCAGCTGTCCTGGGAGACAGCCACAGCCCCCCACCAGGGGCCAAGGAAAAGCAATAGCTTGGCTCTGTCCTATGTCCCAGCAGCAGGGAGCCTGAGTGCTGCCACACGGGACCATGGAGACATGATACTGGCTGTGTTTTGCCCAAATCACTCCACAGGTCTCTGTCACAAGCTCAGGGAAGCAATGAGATCACAACCCTGGAGAGATGACTGAGGGAACAGGCTGCAAACACCAGCAGCCAGGACAAGGGGTGGGTGCTGCTCCTGCTGAGCGTTTTTACAGGCTCAAGGAAGGAGGCAAAGCTTTGCAGCATGGCCTCAGCTGCTCTCATGGACGCAAAAGCCAGGAGGGACTCACTCTCCAAGCATCTGAGGCAATGAMCTGTCCCTGTTCATGACAGGCAGTGTGGGGCTGCCTAGCCTGGACCAGCCAGGACTGTCACGGCAGGGTTAAATCCTTACAGCCACCTGACCAGCTCCTGGCTGCTCTCTCCTGTGTGTATTTTCCTTTAATGCAATACCAAAGAACTTTAGGTCAGCATCRGAGTGCTTTTCAGACCATCTCTTTGGCTGTGCCTCCTTCCTCAAGGAAAAAAAAAAGATTAAAAAAAAATTACAGAGAAAGCTGCAGACAGACAGCTTAAGCTATATAAAAAGCTTCCCAGGGGATTTTCCCTGAACAATCTCAACAGAGAAAGGCAGCRGAGTAAAAATCCTGCTCCCGAGGCTGTAGACTCTCTGCAAACTCTGCAAGGACGGGCAATGCCCAAGCAGCTCCTGGATGGGCTGGGGAAGGTGGGATACTGCTGCCATGGCCTAGCCACTCATGCCATCTGAGAGGAGGATTCTGCCATAAGGCTAAGGATGGTGGCAAGAAGTAAAGCACAGGTGACTGGCTTGTGGAGAGATGATGGAAAGCCACCTTTGATGATGGATGCCACCTCCCAGACTCTCCAACACACGTGCTGGCTAATGCCACTCACAAGGAGATGGCGAGTCCTCTCACAGCCTCAAATGCACTTCACCAGCCAGAAGCAGCTCTTGCTCTAAAATGGCTCACAAGGCAGGACAAGGAAAAACACTGAGAATATTAAAACTTCTGTAAAAATTCTGCCAAAAAAAGGGAAAAGGAGGGAGCTCCTCCAGAAGGGCTTGTTGGCTGAACTGAAAGCTCTAAGTGCAGAAGAACAGTGGAACTCCTGCCCTGGTTTGGTGCTGAGGGCAACAGAAAGAATGAAGAAAAAAATACAGAGAGACAKAGGAATCTAATTAACAATTGTGCCACTGGGAAATAAACACAGAGGCTGAAACCCATAGGGAGCAATGCAGGTAGAGAGACCAATGGTGAAACTCAAAAGTATACTGAGAAAAGTGCAGGGTTATGGCAACTGGTGTTGGGCAAATATAGCTGAATTGCTCCATAAATACTTGTTTCCCATCTGCCATGAACAGAGCTAATATAGCTGTCCAGCAGAAGAGCAAGAAGGTATTTGCTCATCCATCATCATCTACACACAGTAATAGCTTTGATTTTGTGGATTCGTGCTGCTCCAAGAGCCAGGAAAGAGCTGGATGAGGAGCTGTGGGCAGCTCCCCCCTATCAGTACACGTGAAGATGCTTCATGCAATTTTGGTATTCAAGGAATCTGGAAAACTTGGGGAGGATGTAAAGATTCTCAAAAAAACCCAAGCAGAAATCAAGCTGTGCTGTGGGGATGAGGTTCCCTACTGGCAAACCAGAGCAGGGTAAAGCCCTCTCTTAGAGCTGAGCAATGGATCTGTKGGCTGGGGAGGCAAGGATGGGTATCCATATTACCAGCGACAATGGAATTGCACAAACTCTTTTTTCCCATGAAACTAAACTACAAAAAAAGGGTAAACAAGGCAGAGCTGGAAGCTGTAACCAGACATTCGGATGAGCAGTGAGGCACATCATTTGATCAATCTGAGGGATTATTAGCACTGCCAAAGAAGATCAGTGGGCCTCCAGATCTCCACGCCTTCCTGAGAGATCTTTTTGCTRGACATCAAATCAGAAACCTGTGCCACACCACAGAGAAGTGTGGACTTCATACTGCAGCCATTTCTGACCTTTTGTGGGTCACCTCATAGCTGCCCAATTAGCATGGGAACAATGAACTTGGGATGCCCACCTAAGGCACTGGCTGAGCTCTGCTGTGGATCCACACCCCCCCAGCCCACCCAGGCTCACTCACTTCAAGGASAGGGAGAAGTCGTTCTTGCTGGTCTCGCTGTTGCGCACCAGGTAACTGGCTTCCTTGCACAGCCTCAGCAGCGTCTCTGCGTCCGTCCGGCTGATGGCCCCGTGGTACCAGCTGAGGGGGAGAGGGATTGGTTGTGCTGGGCACACAGCACACACCATGGCAAGAGCTCTGCCCAGGGCAGCAGCAACGTTCAGGGAGAGGGAAGGGGGTGGCACCACTGGGCTTGGGAGACAAGGGGCAGGGACAAACAGGCTGAAATGYGGGGACAAGGAAGAAAGGAAGAAGCAAGTCTGCCCCAGGGCTCCTCATGGTGTGGCCACAGGGCTCCCTAGTGCAGGAGGGGCTGGGCAGCTACTCAGGGCGGGCAGGACTCACCACTGGCTCTCCAGGGGCAGGGCAGGGTCAATCCTCTCCCCGACAAAGGGGCCAGGCTCCGAGATCAGCGTCTTTGTGCTCTTGAGGCTGCTGGAGCCATGCCTGAGGGCAGCCCTGGACTTCTCCTCCCTGCAGGGAGAGGTGCGGCCGTATCCCGGCCCCTCCGATTGACCTGCAAGACAGACATGATCACAGGCCTCACAGGGWGGGATCCCAGCCTTCCCTGGCAGGAACAGACAGGGTTACATCGTGCTGTGTCCCCTCACACTGCCATAAGCAAGGGCAGGGCTGCTCTTGGGCTGCTGCTCACTGCAGTGCCCAGGCTGGGTGTCCCCGCCATGCCAAGCCTGGAGCCAGTAGCAGAACCCATGGAAGACACTTCCTGGGGGGTTTCAAAAGCTCAGACGGTTCAGTGGCTGCAGTAAAGTGAGATGCAGCAAGAAGAGGTTCCCCARTCTCTGAGGAAAAAAAATAAATTGAAAAGACAAAGAGGGGATAGATGGAGATAAAGGGAGCAGTCAGTTTGGAACTGATGGACGTATTTTTRCTGGCACAAATAAACATGGGGTGAAAAAGCAATTCCCAAGGTGGGAAGGGGATATTTTGACTGCAGGTACCTCCCTGTCACCAGCCCAGCTACAGCCACCAACACAGGGGATTGACCAAGGCATACCCTGGGGCCCTGGCCTCCTGCCACCTGTTATTTCTGCACAGGATGATTTCAGCATTAACAATATTGTTTCTCCCTCCTCCCAAGAGTTCATTATTGCTCCCAGCACCAGCCAACCCCTCGCACAAATTACTTATTGATCGGGCAGAGCTGCCACAGTGTGGGGCTGCCAAGGCCTGATGCCATGGCAGCACAGTCACCCCGGAGGTGGCCAAGCCTGCAATGCCTCAGACAGGGCAACTTTTCTCCATGCTTCCTGGCTGCTGAAGGGGGAGGCAAAAAATAGCTAGAGGGATGTTTTCCTCTCCAACAGGGCATCCTCTAAGGCAGCTGACACCTTGTCCAGGCCCTGTGCAGGCAAGCATGACTCCAGCCCCCCAGCACTGCAAGAAGGGAAAGGCAGCCAAAATCCTCTGCAGCTTAGTGTGCCTTAAACTATACTGAGCAGCAACTCAGGGAGGAGGTGCCCAGCATTACAGATTGACAAGCCCTGCCTCTGCAGTGCTCTGGCTTATCACCAGCCATGCTCGCCCTTGTACATCACACTCAGGCTTCAATTTCAACTCGTCACCTTAAAAAATTGGGGCAATCATTAAAAAGCCAGACAATCAAACAGCCCAAGTGTTTGCTGGCGGCACAAAGTCATTGTATTACATGCTCAGAAGAAATGCATTGCACCTGTCAGAGGGAGGCAGAGGCATATGCATGATTAAACAGGATATTAAAAACCAGCCCTTAGGAGGAAGAAGACATCCTTCAAGRTGTTCGTCACCCCCAGACATGGGAAGTAGAAAATGAGACAAAATTTGACAAGATAAACTTAACAGAACAGAGCAAGGCAAGTCAGAGGGAAAAAAAGAGACTCTGTGTTGCTAACACCAGGAAAAATGACAAACTGATGTGTTCATCAGGAGCAGGATGCACGTCAGAGCAACTGCAGGAATAATAAATGATGGGGGAAGAGAAGAGGCTGCAGAGCAAAGAGATTAATTTTTCTTGACACCTGCATTCATTGCAGGAAGAGGATSAGGAAGTTTCCACCTGTCAAAACCTTCTCCTTGAGGACTCATTTCAGCTTGCAGCATCCCTATGGATTTGGGAAAGACCCAACWAAGTAGAGCAGCCACTTCGCTCTGGAGGGCCCCACCATCAGCACCAGAACAAACCATCACCTGCAGCCTGYGCTCAAACCCACCCGCAAGGCAGCAAAGGCCACACTGGCTTTATCTGATGAAGCTCTGCAGGGATCTGGTAACTGCAGATAAGGAAATCAGACATCTGCACCTGGCATGTCACAGTGCCCACCCGGACAGCGTTAGTGACACATGGGCAGGCACGGCATGCCGCTGCACAGGAAAAGGCACAGCTCACAGCCCAKTTCCCCACTGGTAACAACACAGTCATGGCTTTCCACAAACCCCCCACCTAATGCTCTTTGTCAAAATCTTAATTCACCACAGCGTTAAGAGCAAGGTCGTTAAAATATTAATAAAGGGTTAAAAGAGAAGCAGCAATATTTGGCTTTCATAAGTGAGACTGCAAGCAGCATCCAAAGGGATTTTACCCAGCGGCTCTGTGCTCAGCACACACAAAAAAAGGCTTCACAACAAGGCAAACCTGAGATGACAAAGTGTACCTGGGAGATCTGGCTGCTCAGGATAGCAAAAGCAAGAGTGGAGAATCCATAGGGACCTCCTGACACTGAGCAGCAAGGTAATAAAACAGCAGAGAAAACAGAGTAGTGCTAAATAATGGAGAGGGGAAAAAACAGCCCCAACTTCACCACTGGGTTCTCAATTAGCTGCTAGCACACCTTTAAGGGACCTGGGTGATAAAGTCAAAAGCAAACGTCAGCTGAATACTCAGTGCAGTTGTCAAGAAGACCTTAAAAGCAGCCATCAAATGTTGGGAATTTGGAGGCAAAGAGGAGAGAACGAAAGACAGTAATGACTCTGCCACAGAATAATCTCCTGGAGCAGTTCCACTGCTGCGAGCAAAGAGGCACCAAAGAGCTACAGAAGGTGCAGCAGGACAAACACCTGGTGTCCAGCACATGACAGCTGAAGAGGCAGGAGGAGCTGGGGAGGGCAGAGGAGGAAGGTTGTGTCTGGCAGTGCCCTGGGCAAGCTCTGAGGCATCACAGCAGGCCAGGGTGACAGCAAGCACTGTCTGCAGCCCCCCGGACACGCCACTGTCACGCAAGACCCACCATTGGCGTCTTCGTAGCTGTGCTGGCCRTGCTGCAGAGGGATGGGGGCACCAGCCTCCCCCTCCGGGGGGCTTTCACCGCTGTCCAGCTGTCCCACCGGCGGGGGCCATGGCAGGTCTTTAATGACCTTGATTTCAACTGGATGGGTGGTGGGGAGGGGGTAGGAAAGAAAGAGAAAGAGAGAGAAAGAAAGGGCTTAGAAAAAACCATCAGCAAYACCAGAGGCCCATGAAGAAGGAGAGCAGTTGCAAGGGGAAAGACCCGAGGACTAAATTCATRGGAGCCCTACACCAGGCTTGGCCATCTCATCCCCTCCACAGCACCAAGCAGGGACAGGCCTGAGATGGGGCACATTACCAGTGGAGACAYCCTGCTCCTCCATTAGTTTTTCCATGCAAACCTCTGTGGGGTGTGGTGGAGCCTGCAATTACCCCATTCCACATACTTGTCTCCCTGGGGGTCTTGGCCAAGCATCCCATTGCCATCTGTCCTGCCTGTGCATCTATCTTGCCCTAGGTGCCTCCCAGCCATCTCCAGGGTCCACGTTCCCCTGCTAGGCATCAGTGGGTTGCAGCCTTGTGCCAGTACCAGCTGCCCATCAACAGGGGTCCCTTGGATCCCCCAAAGGGGCCAGGGGAGATATTTTGGTATCACTGAAGAGAAAAAACACACCACGAGACACAGCAGGACCTGCTCTGGCTACAAAAAAAAACAGGCAGCAGGTCCCAGCGTGGCCCACAGAACAGCAACCTGACTCCCCTGGGGCTTGGAGCAAGCCTGAAGCACCCTGGGCAGTGCCCACATGCATCCACATGTGAGCCAGACCTGTGAACACGMCACCTCCAGACAGGAATATCAAACAAGGTGGCTCATCCAGAGCACAGACACCTCAGCACAAACCTAGCCCAGCAGTGCAAGGCTAGTTCCATGATGGAGGCCAACACAATGAACCCTTGGCACAGGGTGCTGCAGGACCTGGTGGCCTCAAGCACAAACAGGCACTGTGGAGCTGAGCCCACCACACATCTCCAGCTTGCAGTGCCCAAACCCAAAAGGTRAACCACTGCCCAGCCTCAAATTTCCACATCTCTGCCATCATCTCCAGACATTGCTACCAGCCTGAGCACCCTCAGCACTGCAGCACAGACACACAATGCTGCAATTAAAATGCATCCTAGATAAGAGTGTGGCAATTAGCCAGCACCGGCGAGGCGCCAGCACTAATGCATAGCATGGATTTCCTCATTACCAAACACAAACACAATCGATCCTGCAGCACGGATAAATAGGTCAGGGGGCTGGATGAAGCCTGGACGAAGGCTCCTTGGGTATCCTTCAGTCCTGAGGAAGGGGGGATCTGCTTGAGCCCAGGGTTGAGCCTACTCCCGCAACCCAAGTTTGGTGGTAATTTGCACCAGAGGCTGTGATCGGTCAGTGCAGGGAAGAGGCAATGGGAGACAGGTGTTGGACASGTTACCAAGGCAGCTCAATTTATCACTCTGTCCAGCCTGACTCCCTGCTCAAAGAAACAGCTTCTGCAAAAGCACAAACTCTCCCTGAGCCATGGAATTGCAGAGGCCAACATTACTGACCCCCCGAAGATGAAGGAATCCCAAAGATACAGCTTCACAAAAAGTGTTTGTTTTATAGCTGCTCCCATCACTCACCTGCAAAGGCTTTGGAGATCCGCTCTTTCTTCCACTCCCAGGGCTGGTCATATTCCTCTGGTGGCCGCTCATCATCCTCGGGCAGCCGGGACTCCCTGGGYCTGGGGCACGCTGGGCGCTCGCTGTCCGTGTCCAGCACAGGCTCRTAAGGAGTGTCGTAGAGGTGCAGCGGCCGGGCGGGAGCCTCTCGTAAGCCCTTCTGGCGGATCTCTAGCAGGAGAAGAGGGAAAAGACCATAAGTCTTCTACCCAACACAGCTACAGTCCCCCAAACCATGCTAGATGACAGGGTTCAATGTCAACTGTGGGTAAAATGGGGTAGGGAGCATCAGGGGAGGAGGAGACAGCAAGCAGCTGCCAGAAGCAGTACCGTACCTCCACTCCTGGGCAGCCAGCAAAACGGGACCCATGGGGACAGAGTACCCCCGAGCCTGATTTCCTGCAAGCAGTGAGGCTCATTTTCTCCCCTGGACACCCAGAGTGGCTGSTTTAATAAAACACCCTTCCCTCAAGCAAACRAAGTCTCTCCCACAGGCACAAGCAGCCTCTCCACTGCTTGCTGTTTTTTTCCAAGAAATATAATGGTCTACTCCAAAAAGCTACATGAGCTTTCCAGAAACTACTTGCTCCAGGAAAACCACAGAACTGCAAAGCAGAGCCAGAGCCTGGAGCACACAAGCCAGCATGGTGACACTGAGCACTGCCTTCAGGAACACATGCTCCCAGCTTGCCAGCTCTCCAGCCCGAGTCAGGCCCACTGGGGACCCTGCTGCTGCAACAGACACAGCAGGTTCTGGCCTGATCCTAACTGAATTAAATAGCTCCCACATCCATCTTAGTTTTAAGCCAGATGCATGGAATGTCAGGTCTCTCCTGGCTGAGCCTGGCAACTGAGGTCCCGGGGGACAGCACTGCAGGGAGAGATGTGCTCACAATRCTCAGACAGTCTTTGAGTGCTCTGGCAAACCCAGTGCACATGGATACCACTGGGAAAATTTGCCTGCTGTCCCCCACCACAKCTATTGCCCAGATTTGCCTTATCTGCAGGAGCCAATGCAGTCATAGGCTGCAAGAAACAGAGTACAGTGGCCACCAAACTCAGGGACYAGAGGTGTAAAGAGTGGCCTTCGCATGAAGACTTCCACCTTACCAGCCATCATCTTCTGGGCTTCATAGGGCTCCATATACCCGTCATTCTCCATCACCTTCTCCAGCCCTGCCTGGCTACCTGCCACCTGGGCCGCATCGAAGGGATCTGCGTAGTCCTCCAGGACAGCGAGCTGGAAGAGGGGAAGAGTAGGAAAAGGGTTAGGGCACACTCTATCTTTTTTGCAGGATGGAAGGCAGGGAGCTCAACATGAGCTCTTCTAAGGGCACCCAGAGTGACCACCAGGAGCCTGAACCCACATCACRGCAGCCCTGCTGAGCAGGTGCTGGCAGCTGACAGCTTTCCAAGCACTGGCACTCAGCCGTGGAAATGCTTCAGCCTTTGTCCCAAAAGCTGGGATGGAGCCAAGCAGAGCAGAAGGCAGCCCTGTCCCTCCCTCACCACCAGGCTCAGCACTGCCAGCACCCACACACGTGCCCTGGCACAGTCCCCACCGTGGTGCAGGGCTGTCAGCAGTGCCRTACTCTCCATGGCACACAGGCACTGTCCTGCACACAGCCACGCTTCCTTTCTCAAGGTGGAGAAGGGATCCCAGAGCAGGGGTGTCAGCTGGCACTGGCATGACTAGGAACTCCTATGCACTCATTTGACTAGGGCTCCTGTGCACTCATTTGAAGGTATTTTCTAACAAAAGGGCTAAGAACAGCCTATAGTATCCTCTCCACTCCTTCCCAGGCCTCCACAGCATCCTCAGACACATCCTTACTAAGAAAGATACAGCCTTCCTCCAGCAAGCAGAGCCAGGAGCTTCTCAAGTGCCATGTCACAGGGTCAGCGCAAAATTCCTGAGATTTGCACCTACTAGTGAAAAGGAGAGGATCCTGCAGTAGAATATGGGGCATGTCTCAGAGCTCAATCCCCTCCAGCACTGGAGCCATACACTTGCTCTAGCATCTCAGCAGCTTCCCAGCCAGAGCATCCCATCACAGAACACTGCAGTCCCCAAGAAGCCTGGAGCTGTACATCCCATCTCCAGCCCCAAAGCCTGCTCCCAAAGTGGGGCCAGGCAATATTTCTGGCAGAAACCAAGTGTACCCAAGCACCTTAGCAGRGTCTGTTACCTACCAGGATGCAAACCCCCAGCTTGGGCAGGTTTGCTACCACAACACAGGCTATGCAGCTGTCCCACGGAAAGGACCAAATGTCCCAAGCACTGTGTGGCTGCTGCCTAATCCCACCCTGTGCCAGGCTCCATCCTCACCACCATGCTGCCCCTGCTCCTGGCCAGCCATAGAGACCACAGCTGCTCACACATTCCTCTGCAGCTCCAATAATCGGCTTAAAACAAAACACGTCTCCCTCCTTCCTGTGCAAAACGCCCAACAATAGCCTGTTAACAGCAAAACCCAGCAGGAAAAGGGAACAGGAACTGGAACTGTAAACACCTCTGTGCAGTCCCAAGACGTGGCATCCCTATGAGCTACAGGAGGCACTTGGCTCTCCRTGCCCTGGCTCACCATCTCCTCCCTAAATGTCCCGGCTCCATGGGCAGCCAATGCATGGTGAATTAGGTCAGCTCTCCAAGCCTGGTCCCTCCATGCCAGGGTACAAGCAAGTAGCTGATCATCCCCAGACCACATCCTGCCAGCCACAGGGCTTGCAGCCACCCCAGGTGAGCAGAACAGGGTTCAAACACAGGAGCTGCAGATGCTCTCACCCCTGGGCAAGGCGGCAGAGGACAGACRGTGTCAGAATATTGGCTCCACCCCAGGAAGGGCCTGGTACCAGTGAGCCAGGACAGAGCTGCAGGCGCAGCCAGCCCCTGGCTTTGCAGCAGGAGACAGGCAATCTGCTCTCACTTCCATCATCTGACAGGTGACATGGCATCACTCMGGCCCTCTCAGTCACTGCAGACACGAAGGGGCAGTGCCAAGCTCAGGGGTCTGCAACCCTTTGCTCACCATCACCACGGTGAAATTCCCCAAGGGAAATGCAAGTCCCTGGTGACTTTACAGCTGCTTGGTCACCAGGACCTGCTTCCCACCTGCTGCCTGTGAGATCTCAGTGACACCATTCCAAACAGCCAGGAGATCCCATGATCTCTCYCATGCCTCGAAAGCTGCACAGAGGCTCTTCCTGCACCTCAACAGTTGCAGAGCACAGCCCTGTGACAGCAACAGCATCTTCATGCACATGCTCATGCCAATGGAGGCACAGACATGCCAGCAGCATCCCTACACAGACAAATGAACAAGCCTGACAGGCAAGGTGGGTGGATGGGCAGCACCATGTCCAAYGCTCACCCTTGGCAGAGCTCTCATGGCTCCAAGCATGTCAGGGGGCTGTGAAATGCAATTTGCTGACATTCCTGGGGTTAGCTGTCTGCTCCTCTGGCCCTACGACCAACCACAATTTCCTAGACAGGAACAGACCCATCTTGCTGCTGGTGCCAGTCCTGGACCCCCCCTCTGCCCCATACATAAAGAGCAGCTTCAGACAGGGCCAAGAGGCTTCCCTGCATGCAGTGGTCACTGTCATAGAAYCATTAAGGTTGGAAAAGACCTTCAAGATCATCAAGCCCAACCTTATTTCCAGCTGTATTTCCTCGTGTTTAGGTTTGGCTTCTCAGGGAGGAACACAGGAGCTCCAGCAGGCTCACAGAGTGACCCCCACTCAGAYGCCTCTAGGTCTAGAAAGCACAGCATGGTGGAGAATTCTAACAGCTCTCTGTCAARACCCCTAAAAATGTGTATTTTGTTTGCAGAAGGGTGCAGAAGCACTCAGCAGAGATCAGATAGGCTCTGCTGGTAGCAAATGGCTCGGATTAGARGTACACTCCTTGGGTTTGGGGGGAATTTGCTACACTGGTTTGCTYCTCCRCTGCCTCAAGGATGCCACTTCATAGAAGCAAAGTCTCCCAACTGTAATGAAAAAACATAAACCCATTTGTTTTTCAAATGTTAGATATTACAGCAGAGAGTCACAAAATAGGTGGGGAGGCAATTCCTGCCTCCAGGAACATCGCAACCTCAGGATACACAAGCAAGCATACAAGAATGGTATCTAAATCCCCAAGACTSAGGGGCTGGACGCTCCAGCCAGTGCCAGGAAAGGGGCAAGCAGCAGGGAACATGCAATTGCCAGGCACATCCTAATGCCCTCGCACATGGGGGCCATATTAYGGTTGCCCAGGAAACTGCATCTGTGACATTTCCTAATCTGAGTACTGGACTTTACTAGCCATGCAGGGCTCTCAGCAGCAGCCACAGGGCAAATGCTGCTCCCCAGAGCAGGAGGAGGCCACAGCCACTGGCAGGGTAGTATCCAGGGGTGGTTCCCTAAGTCCCCCAACTTTGSTCAAAGGCCGGGCATTTCCATGCTTTTCTCATGTTCCATGTCGCTGAGAGAGCTGCTCACCGCCTGCTGATCCCACCACAYGGCTATGGAGGCATTGCCTGCTCATACATAGCACAAGCTTTGCTAGATTTTAAATCATTTGGGTGCAAAGCAAAAGCCTGACATGCAAAGCCATCATCCCAGGGCAGCTCTTGGTGCAGATCAGTTCTTCAGGGAGCAGCCAAGCACCACAGGCACCTGGACACATGCTGCTTGAGCACTCGTGTTTTTCATGTGTTTATTTGCCACAGCAGTGCACATCCAGATCCCTGCTGCAGCACTGAGCCTGGTCTCACTCTATTAAACATGCCAAGAGAAAGGGAAAAAAAAGAAAATCAGAATAAAATTAATGCAAAGAATCAGATCGTCACTGGGTTCTCACAGTCAAACAGCTTTTATGCTGCCCACCAGTGAAGGTGACAGATGACAGCTCTTCAAGAGCATTCATGTCTCAGACACCAAGATCCCAGGGCARAGCTGGGGTCCTTGCCCCATCTCGCACAGAAACATTCTACCTGCCACGACAAGATGTTCCGCTCCACACAGAGGTTGCGGAGGATTCCTGGGGAGATCCTCTACCTTAAAAACAAGTTTCCTGCCCTGGGGATAAAGCGTATTTGGGGTCTCCTCAGGAGATTGGTTAAACTGAGCAAACTCATTTCATTCTGTCAGGTGCAAAATTCCTCCAGTTTTACACATCGGGCAGCTTGGCTTTTGGCAGACACTGAAGCCAAACACAGCCCAGGCCTYCCAAGAAGGGTCTAGTCCACAGCCYACGGGGCATGGCTGGGCCATGCAGGGAGCCCAGGGCTGCACGCATGGCACAGGAGGAGGGCATGTGGGACAGACAGCACGGCATCAGCACCGCGTAAGATGACTCAGTTCAAGGAGGCTCTCACAGGAAAGACACACGCCCAAGAGCTTCCTGACCAGCCATTCCCACACCCTGCAGCACTGACCCTGYGCTCCCAGCAAGAACAGCAGCGACTGCTCTGGTGGGCACAGGACAAARGTGTCCTCAGGCAGACACCCAAGCYCATCCTCAAGCACACCCTGGGTGCAGGCAGCAGAAGGTTCCTCATCGCATCTCTCCCCASTGCATCCCAGTGGAGTTGCTCTTGTGCTAATCTAAACACAGCAGGGAAGACATCTCCAGGGCATCCACCTGGCCCAGGTGAACTGCACAAGGCCAGCCCATTGTCCGCTGCTGTAGGGAAAGGCCTGGCAGACCAAGCACACTGAGGAGGACCTGTGCTGTCCACACCATTTCCAGGACAGTTTGGAAAGCAGCACAAGCCACTACAGAGATCACTCTAATGTATCCCCAAAGGATTACGTAGATCCCACAGAAAGCAAAGATGCGATGGCTCATGCTACAGCCAGCAAAGCTTCATACAGCCCAGGCAGGAAGGACTCCCATGCCAAGATGCTCCTGCCCATTCCATTCTCCAGAACATGCAGGACAGCTACAGCAGGTACAGAGTTCCCAGGGAACCTGGTCAGCCCCCAACCACAACAAACTATAAGATCTTAGCCAAATCACACAAACAGGAACCAGTGACAGCTGTTTCCACTTCTCCCCATCCTCATCATCCTCACTTGGAAGGACTGCACATTTTATTAGAGTGATTTTCCCCGTCAATCATTAACAAAAACCCTCTCTGCTCCAGCAACTTTGTCTGTACGCAGAATTGTACTTCTCCTTTATCTCCAGTATCAGTGCAACCCAAGGCGTTTGTAGTCCCAGCCCCTGCAGAAGGCATGGAACAGTGTCCACAGCCTCCTCCTAAGTGTGTGAGTACTGAGACACCTGCACAACCACCATCTCAGCAGAGGCTCCAGCCCAGCTCCAGCATCCTCTCCCTGTTCCAGGACAGCTTAACATCAGCAAGAGCAAGAGTCACAAGCAGCAGTAACCTGCCATCAGGCACTTCCATCCTCCTGTAACAACCCCAGGAAGAGCCACCATGATGTTGGAGTAGCTGGGGAACCCTCCCACTGCTCAGCCCAGTGCCAAGGCCAGTAGATGAGAGCTACAAAGCACATTTMAGTCCAACAGAGCTGCTCCACATGGTGGATGCTCCCCGGCTCCTCCAACAAAACTGTTTTAATGGACAGCTGCAAGCACTATCAAATATTCCCCCTTCTACTCTGGTTTCACTCAGCCTCTGGAGCTCTGTCTGTGTCCATCACGTACCAGAGCCCTAAAGAATTAGCCCTAAAGAATCCCTCTTACAGTGGCATGTAGGAGACTAGCAGTAATCTAGCCACCACATATCTTGGATAAATGAAGGGTCTTCCTAGCTCTGTTAGCACTGTTTCCCCAAATGTGTCCAAGCTTCTGACTTTTCTCTAAACTCCTCAGATTCTCCCGAGCCTTTGGATCCCCGAACAGCCTGGCTGTACCTGTCAGCAGTCCCTGCTTCCCACAGCTCTGGCTCAGMCCTTTGCACATCACAGCCTGAATCCACATGCTCCTGCTCCTGCTTTGATCCTGCAACACATGTTCCAGAGGAAAAACCATTCAGACTGCCTCAGCAAACCATAGCATCATGGTGGCACGTCTTGCTCCCTGCTGCCAGCGTCCTTCTCCCCATTCTCCTCTGCTGCCTGCAGCAGCCAGTTCACCCACCTCAAAAGGAGAGCTCTGCTGGGCCACTCCGGAAATCTCCCAAAAGCAATCAGTCAGTACAAGCAACTTCCTAAGATCCACCAGCAACAAGTTTTTCTATCTGTTTGAAACATTCCCGAGCAGATTCTTCCCGGTGCTCATTTCATTGTGCTGCCCAGCAGTGCCAGGACCACGGATGGGATCACTGACTCTATCCACGATTCTCTCCGCCAGCCTGATCTGCAATCCCGTCGAGTTCACCTGACAAGCCCCGTCTTGCAGGCGGCAGCGCTAGCGGGCACTAATTACCCCTCCTGCCTTTATTTGCGCAGTCCCCGCATCAGCCTCTCCGCCAAGAGGCAGGCCCGGCACCAACGGCCGCAACCCAGGTTGGGTTTATCCTCCACCAGGTCTTTGTGCCACTCAGAGCCCGTCTCCCCATGGGGAGCTTCTCCCCAGCTCCTACCTCTCATCAACAAGGGGATGTTTCACGCCTCCTTGCCAGCCCCGGCAGCGCCAGGCTCTGTTTTCACCCCGGAGAAGCCGGCGGGGGGGCGGCAGACAAAGAGGCGCTGAGGCTCCCTGACAAAGCAGCACGGCATCTCCGGCAGGGGTCCGGCCGCCGCCGCTGGCACGGGTAGCCCGGGCAAGTGGGCACAGGGAGATCCGCCGGGAACGGAGCGGTGTGAAGCCCAGGGTCACCGACCCCAGCGTCGGAGGGCACCGCAGACGGTCCCGTGCCTCTCTGCGAGCGCGCTTCCCGCTGGGGATCATACCCGCCTCCCGCGGGAGCCGGAGGACAAGCCGGGGCAGCCCCGCTGACGTGTGCCCGGCATGTCCATGCTGCCGGCACGGGGGTGACGCGACACGAGAGCCCCGCGGAGCCTGGCCGTGGYCCCCGCCTCGGTGCTTGAGGATCCTAACTCTGCTCCTTATTGCGGACGCTAACGGTCTGGAGGGACCACCCAGGGCATCTCCGGTGACCGAGGCGCTCAGGCTCCACCTGCCCCTGGGGTACCGATCGTGCTCCTCACGGCAGGGGCCGAGGGTCCGGCGCGGTCACTCGGGGCATCCCAAATGCCGGGATACCGCGGGGAAAGCAGCGGGGCCCCGTGCCGGGTCACTCACCTCCTGCGGYGGCTCGTCGGGCGGCTCAGGGCCGGCCGGGGGCGAGCTGGGGGTGGCGGGCAGCGGCGGCGGCGGGGGGCTGGCGGGCACCTTTTCCACAGTCTCCACCTTGATGAGCCGGTGCTTGGGCGAGACATAGCGGGGCCCGTCGGGGGCGGCAGCGGGCGGCGGGCCGCTGTAGGGGTCCTCGAAATCACGCTCCTTCTGCAGCCGGTAGGCCGCCACGATGTCGGGCTGGGCGGCAGCCAGC